CACACTCGCTAGCACAACCAGGAAGAAATAGAATTCCTGAACAGACCAATATCAAGTAATGAAATTGAAATAGCAATAAAAAACCTTCCTAGAAAGAAAAGTCCTGGACCACATGGTTTCACACCCGATTTTACCACACCTACAAAGAACTAATGCCTATCCTGCAAAAATTATTCCACAACATCGGGAAGGATGGAATCCTCTCCAACACATTTTATGAAGCGAACATAACCCTGATACCAAAGGATGAAACAAAAAAAGAAAACTACAGACCAATATCCCTTATGAATATAGATGCAAAAATTCTCAACAAAATCCTAGCCAATCGAATCCAGGTGCTTGTCCAGAAAACAATCCATCACAGCAGGTGGGCTTCATCCAAGGGATGCAGGGATGGTTCAACATACACACATCTATAAATGTAATTCACCATATAAACAGAAGCAAAAACAAAGACCATATGATCCTCTCAATAGACGCAGAGAAAGCATTTGACAAAATTCAACACCCTTTTATGATAAGAACGCTCAACAAAATAGGCATAGATGGGGCTTACCTAAAAATAATACAAGAAATATATAATAAACTCACAGCCAATATCATACTGAATGGGGAAAAATTGAAAGAATTTCCAGTTAGAACTAGAACAAGACAAGGTTGCCCACTATCTCCACTTCTGTTCAACATACTGCTGGAAGTCCTCGCTACAGCAATAAGACAAGAGAGCGAAATTAAGGGCATCAAGTGGGAGCAGAAGAGATCAAACTCTCACTCTTCACTGATGACATGATTTTATACCTAGAAAATGCCAAGGATTCAACCAAGAGACTCCTTGATCTGATAAATGAATTTGATAAAGTCTCAGGATACAAAATCAATACACAGAAATCAGAGGTATTCATATATGCCAACAACAGTTAAAGTGAGAACCAAATCAAAGACTCAATTCCCTTTAAAATAGCAACAAATAAATAAAGCACCTTGGAATATATTTAACTAAGGATGTAAAAGACCTCTACAGGGAGAACTATGAAACACTGAAGAAGGAAATAGCAGAGGACGTAAACAGATGGAAGAATATACCATGCTCATGGGTCAGCAGAATCAACATTGTTAAAATGTCTATACTACCCAAAGTGACCTACAGAGTCAATGAAATCCCTATCAAAATACCATCATCATTTTTCACAGATATAGAAGAAAATAAGTTTACACTCGTATGGAACCAGAAAGACCCGTATAGCTAATCAATCCTAGGCAATAAAAACAAAATAGGAATCAATTTACAAACTTCAAATATGACTATAAGGCTATAGGTCATAAAAATAGCTTTTACGTGCACAAGCACAGGGACATTGACCAGTTGGAACAGACAGGAAACCAGATATAAACCATCCTCATATAGCCAAACTAATCTTTGACAAAGCAGGACAAAACATACACTGGGGGAAAAGAACCTTTTTCAATAAGTGGCTGCTGAAACTGGATCAGCCACATGTAGAAGACTGAAACAAGACCCACACCGTTTCACCTCTCACAAAATCACAACTTCATGCTGGTACATAGACTTGAACCTTAGGTGTGAACTATTAGAATTCTAGGAGGAAAATGTTGGAAATACTCTTTCTAGACACCTGGCCTAGGCAAAGAATTTTATGAAAAGACCCAAAAGGCAATCACAACAGCAAACAAAATAAACAAATGGGACCGATCAAATTAAAAGGCTTCTGCACAGCCAAGAGAACTGCTCAAGAGAGAAAATAGACAACCCACAGAATGGGAGAAAATTTTTGCAAGCTACACATCTGATAAAGGGTTGATAACTGGAATCTATTTAGAACTCAGGAAAATCAGCAAGAAAATATCAAACAACCCTATCAAAAAATGGGCAAAGGACATTAACAGAAACTTCTCAAAAGAGACAGAATATGGCCAACAAACATCATGAACAAATCGTTCCAACATCTCTATCATCAGAAATGGCAAGATCAAAACCACAATGAGATATCACTTAACTCCAGTGAGAATGGCCTTTATCAAAATGTCCCCAAACAACAAATGCTGGCATGGATGCGGAAAGAGAGGAACACTCCTACACTGCTGGTGGGACTGCAAACTAGTTCAACCTCTGTGGAAAGCAATATGGAGATACCTCAAAGCTACAAGTAGATGTACCATTTGATCCAGCAATTCTACTACTAGGCATCTACCCAAAAGATCAAAAATCACTTTATGAAAAAAATACCTACACTCGAATGTTTATAGCAGCACAATTCACAATTGCAAAGCTGTGGAAATAACCCAAGTGCCCATCAATTCATGAGTGGATTAATAAAATGTGGTATATGTATACCATGGAATACTACTCAGCTTTAAGAAAAAATGGTGATATAGCACTTCTTGTATATTCTTGGATAGAGCTGGAACCCTTCTACTAAGTGAAGTATCTCAAGAATGGAAAAACCAGCACCACATGTACTCACCAGCAAATTGGTATTAACGTATCACCACCTAAGTGGACATATAGGAGTAACATTTATCGGGTGTCGGGAGGGTGAAAGAGGGGAGGAGGGGATGGGTATATACAACCACAATGAGTAAGATGTGCAACGTTTGGTGGATGGACATGCTTGAAGCTCTTACTCGAAGGGGGAGGGGGGCATGGGCAATATAAGTAACCTTAACACTTGTACCCCCATAATACGCTAAAATAAAAAAAAAAACAAAGTCATAGTTCTGTTAGCAAGGAAAAAGGGAAGAAATCATTGAATTGTCAACAAATTTTGTTGTCATTATAGCCAATTCAATAACACAAGGAAAAGGAGAAGTTAAAAATGTTGAAAACTAGCATACAAAGTGGCATAATTTGCAGATAAAGATTTAAAAGACAACTAAAAAACTATTATAATCCAAGCTGTTTGAGGCACCTAAGCAGCAGTTCTCAAACTTAGCTTCAAAATAGAATCACTTGAAGAACTTTAGGCTAAAGTCTCTATGTCCATCAGAATAGCTAAAACAGTTTTGGAAAAGAAGAACAAATTCAGAGGATTCACATTTCCGATTTCAAAGCTCATTATAAAGCTATAGTAACCAAGGCAGTGTGGTTACTGGCCTAAAGACCCATATAAAAATGAATGGAACAGAACTGAGAATCTACAGATAAATATATACATTTATGGTTTATTACTTTTCCACAAGGGAGCCAAGACAACACCAAGGCAAGAGAATCGTCATTTCAATAAACGGGGCTAAGATAAATGGACATCTACTTTCAAAACAAAATTAACTCATAATGTATCCTAGACCTATGTGTATAAAATCTAAAAACTATGAAGCTCTTAGAAGAAAACACAGGAGTAAATTTTTTGTGATCTTAGGTTAGGCAATAGCTTATTATATGTGATACCAAACACAAGCAATAAAAGAAAAATAATAAACTGGACTTCATAAACATTTAAAACTTTGGTACTTCAGATGGAACTATCAAGAAAGTGAAAAGAAACCCATAAGAATGGAAAGAAAGTTTACAAATCACATACTTGATAAGGGACTTATATCTAGAGTAAACAAACTCATAACTCAGCAACCCAAATTTTAAAATGGGCAAAGTATTTGAAAAGCTGTTTCTCCAAAAATGGCAAACAAATGGCCTATTGACAAAGGAAAGATGCTCAACATTATTAGTCTTCAGGCAAGTACAAAGCAAAACCATAATGAGATACCACTTCACTACCCTAGCTGGGTTAAAATCAAGATGACAGATAACAATGTTGGTGAGGCTGTGGAGATACCAGATACCTGGTATATTCATGGTGGCATCGTAAAATGGTACATCTAATTTGGAAGTCAGGTTGGTATCTCCTTGATATGTTAAACATAGAGTTATCATACGATCCAGCAATTCTACTCCTAGGTATATACCCAAGAGAAGTGAAAACATATATCTATAAAAAAACTTACACACAAGTGTTCATAGTAGCATTATTCATAATAGCCAGAAAGTGGAAAACAACCCAAATGTCCATTAACTAATGAAAGGATAAAACAAAATGTACTATATCCATATGATGGAATATTATTTAGCCAAAAACAATGAATGAAATATTGACACATGCTACAACATGGAAGAACCTTTAAAACATGCTAAGTGAAAGAAACCAGTCACAAAAGACCACATATTGTATGATTCTGTGTATAAGAAAAGGCTGTTGTTTACGTCCATACCATCCCAAATGCACCCGATCTTATCTGATCTCGGAAGCTATGCAGGATCGGGCCTGGTTAGTACTTGGATGGGAGAACAGTCTGTTAATGAACCTGCAGGGGAGGTTCTCTCTGTTGCTTGCCATACAGAAAGCCAATTACTGAGACAATGCAGATTGTCAAAGAAGAAAGGATTTATTGTGGAGGACACATCAACCAGGAGGTGGGAGGAATGGACTGTTTCAAATCCACCTCCCTGACCAATGGCATCAGGGGGTTTTCTGGATGTGAAATGAATAATGCATTAAGTGAACATCATTATATCTCTGGGGCAGAGAGCACAGTGAGAAATCATGTAAGTACATACATCTCATGATCAAAACCAGTGGCTAAATCCCTCCCAGGGTAGGGATTTCAGTAGTATGAGCTAAAGTTCAATATTGGTCATTCTTTCAGCCTTGTGTGCAAGTAGGATGTGAGGAGTAGGCTGCTCTGTGGGTCCTTGGGCACAATCTGTGCTAGGGTGTCACTTATCTCATCTTCTCCAGACAAACAGGTGCTGTAAGCCTTTGTAGTTATCTCACGGCTGCAAGGAGGTTCCATGTTTCTGGAAAAAAAACTCAAAAAAGAATGCATCAGTGCAACAGAAAGTTACAAAGTTCTGGTCAGCAAATCTACTGGCCTAGATACTTGAAACATAAGAAAAACTATCTTAAACACAGTTTTTAAGAAACTATTTTTGCTTTGTTTATTGTAAGAAAAACTATTTTTAAAAAATATTTTCTTGCTTATAGAGGCAGTTACAAGTCCAGAATAGGCAAATCCACAGAGACAGAAAGTAGATTAGTGGTTGCCAGGGGCTGGGGAGGCAGAAATGGGGAGTCAGTGCTAATGTGTAGGGGTTTCTTTCGGGGTAATGAAAATTGTCTGAGGTTAGGTAGTGGTGATGGTTGCACAGCTTTGTGAATATAACTAAAAGCCACTGAGCTTTATACCCTAAGAGGATTAATTTTATGTTACATGAATTTTATCTCAATAAGTTATCATTTAAAAAGAGGGGAAAAATGAATGATGTGAGCCTGTCACTTCAAATAGAACAACTGACTATACTTGTCAATGACAAAACTCAGGCTTTCAGTTAAAACTTAATAGTTTAGAAAATTTGTGCCCACTGTCCAGTAGCTTGATAGCTTCCCAAATCTTAAATTCTTTCTCAGTGAGATTGGTGGTGATATTGATGACTGAATGTTTTCATATTAGATAATGAAATTTTGAAGATCTGCATAATTCAGTGACCTAATGCATAATGTTATAAAATCATGATTTGAGTAAAAGATCCATGCAAAATTAGACCAATGGATTTTAATACAACTGTTAAGCATTATTCTAGGATATGACTTGAGCAGAAACTGGAAGGAGGCCAGGGAGTAAGCCAAGTAGGTAACCCAGGGGGAAGAGTGTTTCCATTGTTTTGATTGACATATGTGAAGATCTAGCCTCACACAAATACGTAACTGGAAAAAGGAGTATCCTAATAACCTTTCTAGATATTTATGATGGATATTCTCCTTTCATAGTATATCAATATTTTACAAGTAGTTTTTTAAAGATTCGTTAAAATGTGCAGACTAAATTCATATAGATGAGGCTGGGTGTGTTTGCTCACACCTGTAATCCCTGCATTTTGGGAGGCCAAGGCAGGAGGATATCTTGAGGGCAGGAGTTTGAGAGCAGCTTGGGCAACATAGAAGGATCCTGTCTCTACAAAATTTTTTTTAAAAAAAGTTAGCTGGGTATACTGGCATGTACCTGAAGTCCTAGCCACTTGGAAGCTGAGGTGGGAAGATCACCTGAGCCCAGGAGTTTGAGGTTACAGTGAGCTCTGATTGAGCCACTGTACTCCAGCCTGGGTGACAGAGCGAGACCTTGTTTCTAAAACTAAGTAAATAAATAATAAATTCATATAGATGAATGTTTATATTCCAACTCAGGTAGAGAAATGGTAGCTTCTATAATTTGATCTGGCATTCCACCAAGGCACGAACCTCAGGTTATCAGGGAAAAAACACCACCATCATCACCACCACCACCATTATATCCCCTTAACGTTTCTCCCAGTGCTTTCAGATGAGCATATTTGACAGTTCATGTTGCCTGGGGCCCTGAGAGGTCATGAAGAGGGAAACAGGGCCTGGCAGCAGAGGAGCTGTCCCTTTTGTAGACAGGACTGCAGCACCACCCTTCCCATGCTTGTTTATAGGAATAAAGGAAGAAACATTTGTAAAGTGCAATGTGATGATTTTCCCTTCAGCCTCCCACATACATGGCTTTTATCCCAATTTACCCAAGGAATCCATTTATCTGTGGGAACATCAGAATTTGTTTCAAAAGTAGAACAAAGAGAAATAAAGAAGTAACAAGCTTTTTGTTACTCAGCACTAGAATTGTGCAGAAGAAAAATGGGGTCACAGATTGACCACTGTCTTGAGAGATTTTCCAAATTCCTTCATCTTTGTCCTTTATTTATTAAGGGCTGATCCACGAAGCCCCAACTCCTAGCACTTTCCTGGACGGTAGGAAGAGTACCATTTCTGACTGGGAGAATCAGGTAAGCTCCATGGAAGCAGTTCTCACCCTGCGGGACTCTGATCCCCAGAGGACATCGGGCAATGCCGGCAGACAGTTTTGACTATCACAGTTGGGGGTGGGGTGCTGTTCACCTCCAGGGAGTAGAAACCAAGGGATATTGCTAGACACGCTGCAATGCACAGGTCAGCCCCCACCACAAAGAACTGTCTACCCACAGGCTGAGAGTGCTGAGGTTGAGACCTACTTTATGGTAAAGGTTCTCAAAGTGGGATCCCCAGACCAGCAATAGGAGCGCCACCTGGGACCTTGCGAGAAATGCAAGTCCTCGGGCCCCAGACACTCCGAGTCAACAATCCTGGGGACAGGGCCCAGCAGTCCATGTTTGAACAAGCCCTCCAGGTGACTGTGCTGCATGCTAAAGTTTATGGAAGGATGAGGCTATTATATGGGAATGCTTCTGGGCTCTGGGTGACAGGGGAAAGAGAAGGAAGAGATGGACAAATGGAGCTGAGCTGCCATCTGTACTGCTTCCTCCTCTGTGGGCTTCAGCTGAGACACAGGCTTGGGGTGGGGCAATGAAGGAGACCCCTGAACAGACAGCTCTTGCCCTATGACCAGCTTGGACTGTGGAGGACCTTGTCCATGTGGGCAATGCTGGCCCCTGGCACTTACAGGTGCAGTATGCAAGGGGTGTACTCCTGACCTTGACTCTCTCAACCGGGGTCTGGCAACCCCGGTGCAATGGCCTCACCCCAGCTCCCATGGGAGCTCACCAAGCTTCTGGGGTCTGGCTGGATTCCTCTTGGTCTTAGCTTGGGCTCCCCTTTGCAGCCCCCAATGCAATGCCGGCTGCCTCTATAGTGACACACTCTTCCAAGCCTCACAGAGAACCTGTCAGCTAACCCAGGGCCTGTTTATACCACACTGGAACCTGTAGTGGCTTGAAAGAATAAAACTCCAGAGGTCTTCCCTCTGCCTGCCTTGTGCTGTGCCACCAAGTGGATCACCCCAGGAGCTCGAATGGCTCTCTCTGCCCTCTGTAATGGTTCAGAAGGCTTGGGGCCATCGGCAGGAGGATGGCAGCAGGACAGGAGATCAACAGGGCTGTGAATCAGGTGCCAACGATGACAAGGTAAGGCAGAGCCAGCTGCCATGAGTCTCAAAGAAGCCGGGCTTGCCCCTGCGTATGGAAACCCAACGGAATGGAATGACCACTGAAAAGTAAAAGTAAAACACCTTTTTTAAACACTGAAAACACAAAATATATATGAGCTTCCTGACATTTCCTGCATTAACTTTTATATTTTATTTGATTTCTTGGGAAGATCACTTTTGCTTCAGATTTACACTTCTGAGGTCAAATATTCTGAGCATCTTCTCATTTTTTTCAACATTTGATTTGGGGGTCAAACAGCTTCTACCATAGCAATATTGCGAAGGTGTGCATTGGGTAGGTTTATCTTGGTGTAAACATCAGAGACAGGTTGGCCAACTGAAGCCAGAAGAGGAAGGTAAGGGCAGGTTAGGGGTGGATGGCAGATCCCAGCAGGGCTTGGCACAGACGGAGAGGCCAGGGCAGTTCCCATGAGCTGGGTGTCAGGACTGACGGCTACTCACGGCACCACTGTTGAAATGACTCAGCTCAGCCTATTTCCCATTTCCACACCACGTGAGACTCAGTATCCTGGAGAAGAAAGTATGACTGGCTTACTATGGATCGCATGCCCACCAAGGGAGGACAGAGAAGAGGCAGCTTGGTTATTATGCCCACAAAGATTCTACAGGAGGGAGGGATGGCCACTCTCCGAAAGTATGTCCTAATTCTGCTTGCAATAAAATGAGCCGGAGCGGCCGGGGCTGCAGGCAACAGGCAGGCATCACTAGGAAGGCACAGGGTGTCTGCAGCACTTGGGCCCAATGTAACTGGTCCATGCATTCTCTGGCTGTGGCCACCCACGGAGGGTACTAGGAAAAGGGCTTTGGAGTTATCCAACATGGCAGCAGGAGAAAGGGCAGTGGGAAGCTTGATGTGTTTCAGAAACTGCAAGAAGTGGAGGGTGTTGGGATCAGTATACAGTAAGAAAGAGATCCCAAAATACCATGGAAATGTCTGGAAGGGAGGTTGAGGGAGTTGGGTTTTGGCTGTTAGAGGAGTTTAGTCAGGTCAACTTAAAATGGGCAACTAAAGAGAAAGTTTATCTGTTTTGCCAGGCAGGGTCCTGGGAGATGGTGCACGCCCTGCCTTCTTCATTTCTATCTCAGCTAGAAAGAGCCAAAAGTATTGTCCCAAATGCTGCAAATGACCCTACAGAATGCCATACCTAGAAAAGGCATGTTTACGAACTGGATCGCTAGGCCACCTGTCAATTCCTCAAACACGATGATCTGTCAAGAAGAAGGTAAGGTGGTCGTGACATTCAAGTTCTGCCTCTGAGGCCAGGCAGAGTCCACTTAAGTGGACAGGGAGGTGTGGGGTACCGTGGGCAGAGTTCACCTCATTTTGCCCAGAATGAAGCCATGGTCCTGGAAGGTAAAGGGTCTCCTGGGGACCTAAACTCCAGTAGCGTCCTAGGTTTTGTCCATTGATGAAGATGACCCCTTTGGTCCAGCCCTGAAAAAGAGTGGAATGGAGGACTCAAGACCTGAGTTCTAGAAGTAAAGACCCAAGGGGAGAAGACACCACACACATACACACACCCCTCACACACCAGACACACCAGCTCATGGGTATGCCAGGCACAACGGATGACCAACCAAGGCCTGGGGGGAGGCCCGAGAGTTCTGCGCCGCAGCCGCTGGCCTAGGCTGGCTCCGCGGCAGGCCTCAGGGGGAGGGCTCTGCTTCCCACCACGCCTCCCATGTCTGATCGCCATCAGCTGCTCAAAACATGCCGGCCCCAAAACATCACTCGTGGGGTAGAACTTCAGGAGTGGCAGCAACTGTGTGTCGGCACCCTACCTACGACATCCCCACCACAGGCCGTGTGGTGGGTGATGTCTGGGCACTACTGGGCAACTCTCTCCACACTCCCCACGCAGTGGCTCCTCCAGCCAGCCCCACAGTGCTCCCAGCCCACCCAGGTAGCACTGGGATCGGGCAGCCGCCTGGATGGCTGTCTAGTGGCTGAGGGCCCTGGTAGTCCCTCTTGCAAGGCAGAGCCCGCACACCAAGGAGCCTTTTCTCTACAGGTCCTTTGGGGATGGAAGGCTGGGGGGACATAGGAGAGAAATGGCACTAACCTCCATTTTTATGAAGGTGTCTTTGGGCTCCCCAACTTTCAGGAAACCGAGGAAGAAGGCAGGGCCCTTAACTCGGTTTGAGACCGGTTTCCAGATCTTGGGAATTGTCCTGAGAGAGAGTCAAGGACCAGGAGGATGGTCACACCTTTCTCTCTAATGTGTCATCTGTGACTTGGAGGTGAGCCTCTTCCCAGAGCCTGGTGCCCCCCCCCCCCCAGTAACTGAGGGGTTCGTCCAGATAATCTCTGGGTCCCTTACTTTGCTAAGTGTTTACCATTTTTGATCCATCACCTGGAATTAATGGTCAGGCACTCACCTTTGTATGAATTTTATGTTCATGTCCAGGCTGTAGATTGTAAATTTTCTTAGTGGAGAATTGTTCAGATAGATGTCCCCAGTTAAACCTGCAGGAGAGGACAGCAAAGGTGACTGAAGGAGGCAGGAAGGTGCAGCAATGTACAGGGCTGTGGCCAGGGCTCTCCCTGAAGGAGGTGGCTTTTCTGGCCTCATCTGGCTGGAAGGTTTCTGCGAACTCCTACACAGGCCTTTCTGTCTGAGTGCGCACGTCTCAGAGAGCAGCCTGTGTCCTCCACGTTAACAGGGGAGAGGGCACTGCAGTCCCTGCCAGGTGCGGCCAACACAGGGGCTCAGGGCAGCCTGTCTCAGGTGTGTCAAATCACTTGGGGAGGAGGAGGGTGTGTGGGACTTTAGCCAGGAGCACTGGGGCTGGGAAGGACAGCACAGGCACTGGCTCCAGGGAAGGATGGAGCAATGTCCCTAGGGAGGGACCCTCACCGTCTTTATTCTCCAGGGCCTTCTCCTGAGGAGCCATTCCCAAACCCCTCCCTGAAGAGGAAGGGCAGTATACTGGCTCTGACTTGGTAATGGGAAAGCACATTTGGGGAACTTAGGAGAAAGGACACTGTCGTCCTTTCCCAGCAAGGCCAGATGTCATCACAGTCTCCATGTGGGTGTCTCGTGGCTGAGAGACCCTGCTCTCTTCCAAACCACACACCTGTCCCTCGCTGAGCTCAGCCTGTGGTAAGAGCAACAGGGTCTGCACTCGGGAGCCCACCTTTCCTCTCCGTGTTGATAGCCTTCCCGTAGGCAAGTCGGCCTTGATTCTCCACCAGGATCCTCAGGGCGTGCTGGTCCTGGTAGCCCTGTCCAAGACAGAGCAGACTCTTCTGCAGACCGTCTAGGTCTCCACTGGAGCCAAGACTGACCTGTAGGCAGGCCTCAGGGCCTTCGGACACCCAGGTGCGGGCCAAGCAAACCCCTAGGCTGCCGCTCCTCCTGCTCATGCCCCACCCTCCTGGGCCAGGCCTTTCAGGGAAAGACAGAGTCACTTGTACATTTTAGCAGAGATTCTACTGGGTCTGTGACCGATGCAGAGTTTTTGAGCAGCAAATACCCAGGTGGGAAGCTGTGCTCGCCTAAAGCAGGTGTATGTACCCATACCTTGGAGACACACACAACTCTCCCTCATTCCTGCGGGGCTCCTCTGCCAGGAGCAATCCCAAGGGCAGGGAGGGAGAGGGGATATCACGGGCCCAGCCCTGGGCACACCCCACCCGAGGGCAGGGCCCGGCAGGCACGACAACTATCTGTCCATTAACACTGGAGTATATACATTTCTCGTAATATTCAGATGGTCAGTGGAGTGATCCAGGACTCCCATATGCTGCTCATTGAGAAACACCTGCCAAAGAAAGAAGAGAGCAACATTAGGTCCTCATCAGGAAAGGGAGGAGACAGACCTTGGAAAAGCCAGGGCACATTGAGGGGAATAAGGAACTCTGTGTCTCCCCAAATTTCACCAGGTGACCACACGTTCACAAAAACAGACTATTTAACGTAGCCAAGGATGAGCCACGTGAGGTGAAGCTTGAAACCGGACATGAAACCTGGGCCCCAGCTCCACTCTACGGCAAGGAGGGGGAAATGAAAAAGGCCTACAAGGAATGAGGAAAAAGGAAAAGTAGACAATGAATAGATACCATGAAACAAATGATGGCAAAGGGACGGTGTGGGGATGCCAGGTACGGCAGCCGCTCGGGGCACCCACCTGCCTTGCCCCACGGGTTCACCTCTGCAACAGATCTCGTTCTGCTGGGGATCTCCAGATTGCCATTCGGAATAACAATCTGCTGCTGCCACCGCCCTGCCTGGTTTTAGGGATGATCTGGACATGAACTTGTTTCTTTTCCATTACCTACAGTGTTGCCTCAGCCCTCGAATAAGCCACCCAGAAGACTCTACTCTCACCATCAAGCCCAGATAAGGATAATTTGTTTCTTAGAGTGTTTAGCTTAGATCACAATTTTTCAACTAAAATGACTTAGAAACTGTAACAAGAAAAATCCACAATTATGAAAAAATATGTTATTATTATCCAGAATACAGAATTCATAGTGTAAGCTTATCGGAGTCTAATCACAGGCTGATATATTCTATAATCATTTACTGAACACTTGCTGTATGACTCAATATCTCACTGGGGAGGGGTCACCTGGGTTAAAATACAACCCCGACCACTGAGAAACAGAGATGGAGAGTTACACAAAGCAACGATCAGAGCACAACAGCTCTGCTACCATGGAGCTGGGGACAGCCCACCAGGAAGCACCACAGAAGGAAAGGTGAGCCCTATCCACTGCAGAAGCCAGGCCACCTCATGGACCCGTGGACAGGTGGCTAGGGACATCACCGGCAGGGGCTACAAGAGAAGTGGCTTGATGAGGCTTTTAACTGGGGAAGAAACTCCAATGGCACTGTGAGGGGGACAGAGGATGACAGTGCATAGTCTGAAACAGAATTGTGAGGGTCTAACAATAGCAGAAGTGACATATCAGGATGAGACTGAGGTGACAACAGCCTGAGTTTTAAAAGAACAACTAAGTAAATGCTGCACCACGCAGGGGCCAAGTGGGATCAAGGAGTGAAGAAAGTGTGAGGGGTGCATGGGAGCAGCATTTCTAGCTTGGGAGGCTCAGAGGCCACCAACCACTCCGAGGTTTCCTTGGGAAGCTCATGCTAGGAGGAGCTGGAGAGCTGTGGAACAAACACCACGTGAAGAGGAATGTCCAGACACAGCAAAAAGTACAGGTCTGCAGCTGAGGAGAGGAAGGAGGGCTGGAGTCACCAGAAAAGGAGTCCTTAAAGCCCTGGAGGAAGATGATACAGAGTATGAAGAGCAAGAAGATTCCACCAGCAGCTGGAGAAAAACAGCTCTTGCCATGGAGTTCTGTGACACTCCAGCTGAACAGCATTTGAGTCATTGAACTCCTCCGAGGTTTCCTCATTTGCAATACATATCTCAGGTGTTTTAAGAGTTAAATGAGGCTGGACATGGTGGCTTGCGCCTGTAATCCTAGCACTCTGAGAGGCAAAGGCGGGAGAATTGCTTGAGCTCAGGAGTTGCAGACCAGCCTGAGGAAGAACGAGACCCCATCTCTACTAAAAATAGAAAAAATTAGTCAGGCATGGCAGCCTGTGCCTGTAATCTCAGCATCAGGAGGCTGAGGCAAGAGGATCACTTGAGCTCAGGAGTTTGAGGTTGCAGTGAGCTATGATGATGCCACAGCACTCTGGGCAACAGAGTGAGACTCTGCCTCACAAAAAAGGAAAAAAAAAAATGAGAAGAGCCAACCGTAATATGTCATGGCAACGTTAGGGACTGATATGCAGTCTGTATAGGCCCTATTTATGCTCTTTCCAGGTCTCCTTAAAAAGAACCCTCAGCCTCCCTAGTTTCTCATACCTTAGGCAAAGTGTAGCAGCAGCCCATGTACAAAAGGTTTCACTGAAGGGAGAGATGTTGAGAGACAGTAACAATGTTTTGAAGGTCAAAAAGTTTTGACTATCGTTTAGTGCCCTCAACAGCACAGTTGGGCTATGACCGCAGACAAATGCCACTGAGACGTGCTCGTTGCCTCCTACCTCAGCGCGATCCTGAACATGACCCCTTGAGGAGAGGATGCCTCCTGTGGAGATGTAAGTCTCATAAAGCGTGTACCCGTAGGACTGGCCACTGCCCTGGTTCACAGGCAGCATCTCCATGGACACTGGCTTGGCAGACTTCATTGGCTGTGGCAGAGACAGGACCAAACACCAGGCTGAAGGCTGAGGCTGTACAAAAGAACCCCAGAAACCCCCACCCAAAGCACACCTCTCTAAAGGAGTGGCCCCAAGAGCCTTTAGAACAGGAGTATAAAAAGGAATATGCAATGATGATCATCCTTAAGCATGGCATGCAAATTGCCCTTTTGTTTTCCAAACCAACTTCAGATTTCTCTGTGTGTGCTAGTCAGTGAGGTATTTCCATTTTTCAGGTGGAAAAGCTGCAGTCAAGAAAACGGCGTGATTTGTGGGCCTGGCTCATCAACTCATGGTGGAGCCTGGACTTGACTCCCGGGCACAGGAATCCCAGCACAGGGTGCCAGCTTCTGCCATCCATGGCCTTTTCTTTTCCTTGTTTATACTACCTAAGCGAAATCGTCCCAGCCAATGGTCTAACTGGCTGTGATTATTCATACATCTGCCTACCGAGCATGACCCTAAAGCACCCCGTGTCTGTTTACCCTCACGCCCACTGGGCCCCACCCTCTGGAAGTCCACAGAGGTTCCAATCAGCATCACCCACACCGCACCGACCACAATTCCCATCCCACTCTTTTGCTTCCAAGAAGAGCAACCCCATCCATCCAGGCAAAAAGGTAGAAAGCTCAGGCATGTCCTCTCCCTCCTTTTCTCCCTCTTCCTCAACATCCTCCGTCAACCAGTCATGACTTCTTGTAGAGTCCAATTCTAAACATGTGTTTTGTGAATCCTCCTTCTTCATTCCCACTACCTAGTTCAAGTTCAGGAGACTGCTGTTGGTTTCAGTGCTCTAGCAAGACCCCACTTAAATCTGTCCCCCACAGCGCTACCAAAGAAATCCTTCTGAAACGCACGCACCGCCGCCTCTTTGATTCCTGGCCCTGCTTTAAAATGACTTCCCATCAGTTTCAGGGAAGCATCCACACTTCTTAGCATAAAAACATGACCTTTCAGAATCCCTTGGAGAAACAGATGAATCCAGGTCTGTGAAGCCACCCAGCTGGAAACATCCTGGAGGTCCAAAAAGCAAAGAAGATACAAAAGTCTGTGGTGGGGGTCATGTTGAAGGGAGACAGGAGCCAGATTGAAGGGGCTCCCGCTGGCCTAGGCGGGGACAACTTGAGAATCAACACGAGACTGCAGTGGCATAGAAACATTGTAATGTGCAAGTAAATTCATTATTCTGATGAAAGAAAATAGTTGAATTTTTGTCCTGACTTCTCTATACAAACTGTCCTTATTTTAGGGTAGTAAGATAATTGATGAAGGAAAGTTCTATACAGAAGAATTCAAATGAATGAGCACTGAAGGAATTATAGAATTAGAATGATACCGTTTCCACAAAGCCTTTAACGAAATACTGCGTCTAGGTGATAATTGCCAATGGCTGCTGAAACCATGAGGTAAAAGTCTGATGGGAAGGTTGAAAATGAATAGGACAACTCACGACACCTCACCCCACTGATCAATTATGAGAACAGAAACAACCAGCCATCAATCACATGCCTGGGATGTGAGGCATAGAAAGTGCACCACCAGCACCTGTGAAGTATACTTGCACACAAATGAACAAAAACCTACCTTTAATCCCAACAAACATCTAGATCTAACTATTGATTTACAGAACACACAGGGAATATAGAGACATGTCACCTGACATAGTAGGGCTTTACCAGCAAAACCAAACCTACAATGCAGAGAATTCCAGAGTATAAATAATATAGGTTTTTCAACAAATAAATGGAATAAGAGAAGGAAAAAAATCTTCAGGTTAAAAGAAACTTAGGAGATATATCAACTGAATGCAATGGGTGATGGATCTCATTTGGATCCTGACATTAACAAATCAATGCTACACAAATGGTATACGATAATTAAGAAATTCCAACACTGGCTATTTTATGATTTTCAGCAGTGATGTGCTAGAGTCAGCTTGCACTAGTTCATGAGAACCAGCCATGGACACAGCTCCCCAACTCTGTGTGCAGTGTCATCATGTTAGCAGCTCGGAAGTAGCCACGATGGGAGGATTTACGCCACAGAAATTGGCAAATACTACTCATCAGAGTTTTCCTTCCAGAAAGCCAGTTGCTAAACATTTCCTAACAAATCTCTGATTTTAAAGAACTATTATTACCATTATTATTAAGGATGAAAATGATTTTATAGTTACGTGTTTTTTAAAAAGCCCTTATCTTTTGCGATCATATTGAACTATTTACCACTAAAATCATATAATGTCTGAGGTCAGCTTAAAAGTAATCATGTAAAAGGTAGGAGGACAGAGGAGAGTAGAGATGGAACGAGGTTAGCCTTGTATTGATAAGGTTGAAGCGGGGTGTGGAGCCCCTGGGGGCTCACCACTATTCTCTCCACTTTTTAAAATTCTCCAGGAAAAAGTTAAAAACACAACCACAAAGGCCCTCCAACTGGTGCCTGGCCTCCTCCCCACCACTCTCCCTGGAAGACCTTCCACTCTGATTCTAGCTGCAGGGCCCTAGGCGCAGTTCCCCCCTGCCTTACCCCTGGGCACCAGGACTGCTGTGCCCCTCGCTCGCTCGTTTCCCTCTCCCCTCCTCCCTGCTGTCTTCCTCCAGCTCCCATTGATCCTCCAGGTCTCACAATCACCTCAACTGAAATGTCACCTCGGATCCTGTGACGTGCAGCATTCGACTGTGTCTCTATTAATGGTTTAATTCATATACAATCCTATGAGGCACCTACAATTATTAGCCTTGTTTTGCAGATGAGGAAACATGGGTGGAGTGAGGTTAAGTGACTCACAGGTGGTAACACTGCCTCACAGATTCAAACCCAGGTGGTCTGCCCCTAGAGACCCTGTTCGGCACACAGCACTGTTCCCTGGACCGCGCTGCGCCACCTTCACTCTGCTGCCATGAGACCTGCACCCCTCCCCTCTCTACTTTCCCCACTTTTCTTACTCATTAGACAGGAAGTTGCCCAAAACAACGTCTTGATAATACAGTTCCCCAAACAGTAATATTCAGTAAGTGCTATATGAATAGTATGCAGTTTTTTTCCCTTAGTCAGCGATTTTCAAACTGTGTTCCTCCGAACCCTAGGGTCAAATTAGAAGTGGCACGTGGACTGCCCTAGAAAAGGGATGGCTGGCCCTTAGGGAGGAAGAAGCACAGAGCTACAGAACTACCACCCCTGACTTAGTTTATGTTTTATATTTATGTTTTACATAGTGAGCTTTGCAATAAGTTTGGAGAAAGAGTCCTGCGACTAAAACAAAAATTTGACTATCACTGTCCTACATCCAATGTACCTTCATTCTACCCATCTTTGGAAGACAAGGGGTCTCTTCCCAGCTAGGTTATGAAAGGGAATCTTCCTAGTATCTTGCAATGTTTATACTATTTCTTCAAGTTCAAATTTCTGAATTCTTATTCTGAATTGTAAAATTAGAGAAACGAGAACTGCTAAGGGTTGTTTCTGTTCCCCAATAACTTACTCTCTGTTCTTGTAGCTAAGCCTTTCTCTCCTCTCTCTTTTCTCCAAAGACTCTCTCATGTGTCTATGCCTAGGAAATGCTCACCGGGTCCAGGTAGGGCAGGATTTCCCACAGTAACACGAATTGTAGCCGCACCACTGACTTATATACAGTCTTCTGTTTATGGCCTGGTTGGAGGGACATGGGAACTTCTGCAATGAAAAACAGGTGGTTGGGCCATTCCAGGATCCTTTCCCTCCCCCATTCAAGGGCACCCTGCTAAATCAAAGCCAGGAAGAGTGAAGGGCCCATTCACATGGCACCTCTCTCCAATTCCAAGAGTCACAGGCAGTGAGTGACTGAGTGAGATTCCTCTCATATCCCTAAGCTCTGAGGCAGGTGCCCTGCCGCCCTGGAAAAGCTGGCACATCAGTCCCACCTGCGGGCCCAGGAGTTCTGAACCCTGGCTCCTTGGCAGAATCTCCAAAATCCCAATGGAAAAATACATATGCACAGATTCTACCCCTCCTTTCCCATTCCTACAATGACATACTCATCTAAGAGCTCTGGGAAGGGCCTGGAACCTCTGGTTTCTAGAAGTTCCACAGAAAATTCTGATGTACACTCAACACAAAGCAATATGGCCCTAGTGCTGGGTACTAGAGAGCAGCCTCTGTATCTTGTGCATGTTTGAATCCCCAGTGCCTAATGATAAAATAAACTGGAGCAAACTGGGTATCTCCCAAAAGAATCTCCACCCATTTCTTCACGCTCCTCTTCACAGGACAGAGACCACTTGAGAAGGCCAAGCTACCATTTGGATTGAAGCCGATGCTGGGTACCTAAAACAGAGCCAAAATACTCCTGGAATGTGATATACTCAGGTGTGTATTCTCCATCCTCAGTCAGCAGTGCCCCATAGTCTGAAAAATACAGAGAAATGTGTCATTTTCTCCAGGAAAGCCTCAGCTTCAGCTTCTTTCCCTACGAAGAGATGAGAGCTTGGTACTGAGCAAAAGGATTCTTAATATAGAAGCTTTGGGAGAAAAAACTTAGCATTAGAAAAAAAAAATGCCACTTCTCAGTTAATTCAAACTAAGAGACTAGAAACCTTTCCAGGGCTTTCAACAGGAGGTAAACAGCACCATTCCATGGGTGTCTAAGAAGCTCTGGCTGAGAGCCCAAGGCTCTCTAATCCAGGGTTTTCTCCTTCCCATTCAATTTCCAGCTGAACTCCTTTCTTTCTTTCACACTTGACTTCCCACTTGGTCTCTTAATAGACTTGTAGATTGGCGAAGACATATCAATTGACACCCTGGAGCTATCAGAAGATCCAAAGTAACTGTTTCTGCAGGAAACTTCTAAAAGCAAGGGTCTGTGCAGGGGATAGACAAGATTAAGCCACCAACTTCTTAGCTTGCAAAGTCCCAGAAAGCCTAGATTCCAGTGGTAAATAAATTCTAGTATTGCCAAGAGGAATAAATATCAAATCCTCAATCCCTAGCATATGTCAAGGGCAAAACAGATGAACAGTTTCAGAAATCATCCTCAGAGGCCTACCCTAGGACGCTCCAGTCTCAAATGGTGGGGTAACCTTGGTTGGAGACTATTCTGCAGGACATGTACTTGCCATAGTTGGTGACTGTAGGGAGATAAGTGTTCAAAGATGCGGCTCCACCCATGAAGCCAAAGTTGGTGCCACCATGGAACATATAGAAGTTGAGGGAGAACCTAAGCTTGAACATTTCACGCACCTCCATCATTAGCACTGCATATAGGTAGGAAGAAAGGGGGAAATAGAAGAGTGTGTGAGAATGTATAGCCCGTCATGGATTTTCAAATCATCTAGACCTAAAATATTCACAATCAACCAATATCTCATGCCCAGAAAATGTGTGGGATTAGCCAGAATTGACTGAGAAGGATTGGTGAAGTTATTCCCAGGAACATTTTCATAACCCAAAGTCATTCATTACTTTCTCCTCTGGCTTTCACATTTTTGGGAGATATTTTTTCTAGCACACAAATAGCATGTATCAAACATTTGCTTGTGCCTCTTTATCTTAGGCAAATATATGTCTGGCTTAGTGTTTCTTCTGAAGCACTTAGCACTTTCAACAGTGACTGATCTGAAATTGTGGCACCAGGAACATTGACCTTCATACTCCATTTTAAAGATCACTACAATTCACCAGGGAGGACTGCAGAATTGGGGTCAGAAAATCTGGGACCAGGTAACATTCTACTTCTATCCAACACGCTTTCATCGAATTTTCCTGCCTGTCAGAACAAATCATTCTATTTACTTTAATAGCCTCCACATAATATAATTAGAGGGGAAATTGCTGAAACTTAAGTTTCAATTACAATGATCTCAGTGCTCATTTTATGCTGTCACTTCACCAGCACAGATGTCTATGAGGTATCTACTCAATCGCACTGATATTTGCAGAGCTATATGACGTAAGAGCCTTGTATCCCATATCTCAAGTATACTGATCAGCAGGAAAAACGAGTCAGTGCTATCTGTGGCCCGTGTTCTCCTGAGAAAGGAATTAAGGAACACCCACCATGATGATCCAGACTGTTGCGGAGAGCACCCCACGTGTCAAAAGAGCTCGCTGTATATACCATCATCATTATGGGGCTATGGCCCTGAGAAAAACCAAGTGGCAATTTAGAAAAGTTTATTATGATTTAGAAGCTTGAATTATTTGGAAGGGAACTGTGAAATCTGGTTCTCACACCCCCACCCTTGGCAACTCAGGGCATCCCCTTACTGCTCACCAACTCTGAGTTCTACTCTGCCATTCTCACAGTATTTTCCTGGTCTCATTATTCCTCTTGTGGTTTCACTGGTCTTCTTGCCTAAGCTTTGGTAAAATCAACTGCCATTTCAACATTGCTCTCTCTAGAACTTCCTAGAAATAGAATCTTTTCATATCGTTGAATGAACAGAGTTCTAGTAAGGAAGTGCCTAACACAGAGAAAGCACTAAAACTGGTCAACAAATGAGTACCAGACGAGTTGAATATCATAAACGAGAACTCTCCAAGCCCAGAACTGCCAAACATGCTCCAGCCCCCACTCTTGACCTTGCCTTCACTGTGTCACCTCTTGTTCCTTCATCACTGGGACCCGCTAGCCTGTCTGTTCAGGCTGGACTCTGTCATAGGCCTTTTCAATTCTGCTCCTTTTCCAACTATAAAGTTAATCAGTCCTTTGAATTTCTGCTCTCTTTTCTGTCACAACCTCCAACTCTGGGGCCCTTCCAACAAACCACCTGTAGCAGCCACATTCATGCCGAAGCTTCCAAATGCTTCAAAGAGAGTCCTACAACACTGCCAACTCGAGCAACCACAACCACAAATTCATGTGATCTCATCTTATCTTTATCTATAGTTCTTCCTAGGAATCTTTATATTAATATTTAAATTTTTTAAAACTCTATTGAAGTCCAAAAATAATGTTCTGAATCCTTGAAGGCTAATTAAACTGTGGCCATGTGGCTCAAGCTCCTCTCAATCTCACCGAACCTCAAACCACAGAACTGTGGTCTGAATGTTTGAGTCCTTCCAAATTTTATATGTTGAAATCCTCACCTTCAAAATGATGGTATTAGGAGGTGGCGCCTTTGGGAGGTGATTAGGTCATGCATGTGGAACCCTCATGAGTGAGATTAGTGCCCTTGTAAAAAGAGTGCCGGGCCGCTTCTACCATGTGAGGAAGCAGCTGTGAATAGAAGGCACCATCTATGAACCAGAAAGTGGGCCCTAACCAGACACTGAATCTGCCAGCACCTTGATCTTAGACCTCCCAGCCTCCAGAACTCTGAGAAATAAATTTATGCTGTTTATAAGCCACTCAGTTTATGGTATTTTATTGTAGCAGCAGAAATGGACTAAGACTCATAGTTTCAAACATTAGGAATGATTTTTTATGTGAGCTTTTCTAGTGTATCACTTCTTACTTCACATAGGCATTGTCATCTATAGATACTGGAACATCTATAGGCACTTTGTAGCCATCACCCTTCATCTTTGTGTGATAAGGAATTCAATGCTACACAAGGCAGTCCATTCCATTTTTGGAGAATTCAGATTGCTAAAAATTATAATCCTTATAATGAGACAATATGTTTTCTCAATTTTTACCCATTGAAACTAATTCTGCTCTCTAGTACTGCAAAGAATTTCCTTTTCATGTGGAAATACTCTAAAATTTTGGAGATGTTCACCAAATGAGTCTTATCTTTAATGTGAGACTCACAGTTCCTTGAGTTATCTTTACATAAGCCCTAAACCATATTTCCTGGAAGTAGTCCACTTTGTTAAAATATCTCGTAAGACATCATGCCCTGAGCAGAAAAAACAAAAACAAAAAACAAATGCTTCAAATTTCTTCTTGCCAGTATGCAGAAATGTGATAAGGTCATTTCTATCAATGAAACTCAAGTTTTCAAAGTTATTGGCAGTTGATGTCACAGACTTGGTTTAGGTGGAGCATCTAGTAAACTGACTTCCAAAGCCCCTTTGATGTAAAATGCCATCAAGATAGCCCTCTCCCTTTTTACATTTTGGCCCTTTAACTTTGCTGCTATCATTTGGTTTTTAATTTTAACGCAGGGGCTGTACAATTACTCCATGTTGATGGACATGTGGGTGGACCCCACTCCATTAAGCATTCTACAGACCCTTGATAAACACAACTTCTCTCTCTCTGCTCAGGAGAATATTGACCAGGACACAGGCAGCCCCCATGCACAGCGAGCAGACCTAGATGCAGCCTCTGCAAGGGCAAGGAGTATGTCTGTCTGATCACCAGTATATATGAGGACTCAAAAAAGTCCTCATTCTGATCTCAATTTGAAACCTCTAACTTCTCATCATGTTCAAGTGTCAGCTCCCCCTACTATGTGAGCTCTACTTTGTCCAGTTTGGAGAGGATTCTCTTTGACAGAAAACACAAAAATAAAATAGGGAATCAGAAGCTCTGCTTTCTCCCTATGTTCAGTTAATGCCCCAACTTCTGCCCTAAGAATTGTGCTTCTCTCAAGTTGTTCTCTTTCTTAGTCAAGTCTAAGAAACACACTGGAAGCAAATTACAGTGAACTTAAAGTGTCCTTACCTGAATTGAAGAAAGCTCTTGATAAGTTACTTTCTTGATATTCTTCATGTGGAGAGTGGCAAGCACTGGGGAAGAAAAGGAGAAACTCTGCACGTGCCCTGCTGTGACCACTACAGGGCAGGGCAGAGGACACCCACCCCAGGGCCAGAAGGGACGATGGGCTCAACACGTCCTGAATATGCCCCTCACAGGCATTTCCCATTGACACGGTTGTGGCTAGCTACAAAGATGTGATCCTACACTTGGATCCAAACATGCAACATACAAAGGGCTTTCAAATACATCCCTTCATTTAGCGTTTGCAATGAACGACCCAGAGAAGTAAGACTGGCAGTTAAAATAAACCACATCACACTGATGAATAGTGCAGGCCACATGAGGAAATCGAGCCCAGAGAGGTGAGTAACCTAAGACCTAAAACTTGGCTACAGGTCTCCTGACTTCCGAATCAGAACACTATTCTGACCCTTCCACTACAACATGAGGAAGGATCACCAAAAAGCCTGGGGGAGGAAAGAGCAGAGGATAAGGCACCTGACAAAATTGCTTGGGTTTAAGAATTCCAAAAGGCTCTCTGGCTCCATTTGTCTACATGTTACCTTTTCCCATTTTTCGGTGTATCAACCCACATTGCTCTTTGTAATCCTATCTATATTTCTCCACTGCTTTTATTTCCTGGGCTTATTTACCCCATGAGCTCGTGGGGCTGGGTCCACGACAGGACAATTTCTCTGACACGGCATACACTTCCCGTGTCAAAGACAGAGTTACCTTTATTCAAGTCCCAGCCAGGCCACACTCTGGGCCACCAAGGGGCTGAGAGGATGGAGCGAGTGTTCTGCATGGTGCACGCCTGGGGGTAACAGCTGGTGGGGCAGCAAGACCTGACTGGCTCCTCAACTCAGCTCTGCTTTCACCTAACGACAATGGGGCCTCATCCACAGAGACAGGAAGGATGGCACAGCACAGGGACTCCCGTTCTGTTTCAGACTTGACTAATGGAGGAACGGGCAAAACCAAAACTGTACCATCTTTTAAGTAGCCTCTTTTCAGTTCTAGTCCAGTATCCGCAGTCATGAGCAGCACCTTGATCCCTCTTGTCACCAGGGCCTACGGAGAAATTCACAGTGAAGTAAATGAACTGTCTCTGGCCCCTCGGGATTGCTCCTCTCTGGAAAAACTTATAAAATAAGTTTATTAATAAGCAACAAAAATACTATTAATAAAGCAAAGCTGAGGAATGGAGAGGAAGGTCTAATTCCCCATCCAGCTACTTATAAGTTAGGAAATTAGGACAAAAATCTCATCCCTGCTTCAGCCACACTCAGCAAGGCCAAAGTGACAAATGAAATTTCAGACCTAATACTAGAGGCAGTGGGATTGTTTGCATTCACCTTAATATAGTGCTTTCCCTTGAGGACCTGAATTCTGGATTTTCTGCAGTGTATCAGAGAGTTTAAGGTGAACAGACTTCTCCACATTTTCACCCAAATCACCCACATCCCATGGGCCCAATACACAAGAGGCATTTGTGGACACATGCACAATTGTGGGTTTTCCTTTGGTCAATGGCAAAGGCAGGCAAGTTTTGGCTAAGTCCAGCCACAGTCACATTTTTTTGCTGCATGAACCTTTAATGTTCCTACTTTAATTAAAAAAAAAAAATTCTAGATAGATTCTAAATCCAAGATAGAGAGAAGAGGCTAGGAGACTTATCTACTTCATGGTAGAATCCTGGGACTATGACCACAGGTACTGAGATAAGCCAAAGGTACACCTTCCTGATCTTTCGGATCAGAATATCCTGAAAATGTAAATATTCCTGCAATTAACCCTAGTGCCCTTTGTTAGGTATGAGGAAGTAGTTTGTTTCTACTAAACTTTTTTGAGAAAGAGGGGAGGCAGAGAAGTGGCTCTGAGAAGAGCCAGCATGTCATATACCAATCAGTGTCACCCCCTCCTCTACCATGGGTCCTGTTCAAATGCCATGAGTCACATCTCTAGCCCCAGTGAGAAACATGGCTCAATGGCAGGTGATCATATCACTTATCCTACTAGATACCTGAGAAAAAAAGAGAGTAGTAATAATCATTCCAGCATCCTGGGGGTGTCCTGGACAAACCAGGATATATGGCTCATAATTCATAGGGATAGTTCTAGGGATGATGAGCTATTTTTGTTTCCAACTGCTATTGTTTGCATGTGCCCCCAGAAGTTCAAGTGTTGGTAACCTGATTGCCATTTTGGTAGAGTTTAGAGGTGGGGCTTGTGTCATGAGAGCTCTGCCCTCATGAATGGATCGATGCCATCACCACAGAATGAGTTCATTATCATGAGAGTTTGTCCCCTTTCTCCTGTTTCGCGTGCTCACTTGCCTCATGATGCCTTCCACCTCATGCTGCTCTTGGGTTTCCCAGCCTCCAGAACCATGAGCCAGATAAACTTTTCTTTATAAATTACCCTTATAAAATTGTTCATAAATTATTGTGTTGTAGCAATAGAAAATTGACTAAGACACCAACTAAACTTTATTCTAACCACAATTATACAACTGGACAAACACTTTTAAAGAAGTTTTTTTAGAGATACTAGATATGTAAGGCAGAACGTAAGGAGCCAAGATCCCAGAGAGAAAGGGAGGCTAGCATTTGGCACTGCTTTTGCCTTAAGACAGTGGCTGATTCCTAAAATATCAGCCAGGAAGAGTCTGAGGAGTTGAGTAGAGACACCAGCAGTTTTATAAGACTTGGGGAAAGAAACTACAGTTTGGGGACTGCCACAGTTTAGAGACAATGGCTTTGAGCTAGAATTTATAGGGCTATCTCCTGGGAATAAGGATGAACATGAATTAAATTAGCTCACACAAGGACTGAAGCTCAGCTTCAAATCTTTGCAAATACCTGCCAGAAGCAAAAATAAATCCATCTGGAAGATGATCAAAAGCTTCAAATGATTTTAATGTTTTCATAAATAAATGTCTGACATTAAATTAAAAACTTATTAGGTATACCAAAAGATAATACTTTACTGAAACCATGAGAAAAAATACAATAGAAACAGATCAATAGGAGCTCAAATATTAGGTTTATTATACGCAGTGTTGAAATAATTATAATTAATGTGTTCAAGAAACTAAATAAAAAATTTTACAAAGCAAGGAAAACTATAAAAAAGAATCAAATAAAAATTCTAGACCTAAAAATTAAAATATTTGAAATTAAGAACTTAATAGGATAACTTTAACATCAAATTAGACAAACCTAAAGAGAAAATTAATGAATTAGAAGATAATTTAGAAGAAATCAACCAGAAAATAGTATAATATATGTGGAATATGATGAAAATATCTAAATCTGTATAATGCTAAGAATTTTCCAAAACAAATTAAAGACTTTGAGCCAAAAATTGAAGAGTGCAAAAAATGTAAGCAGGATAAGTAGAAAGAAAACCACACTTAGGCATATGTGGCCTAGGCATATCTTAATAAAATTGCTGAAAACCAAAGAAAAAAGTATTGAAAGCAGCCAGAAGCAAAGATACACTTTATCTTCAAAGGAACAGTAATTTTATTGATAACTCCCTTCTTAACAGAAACAATGAATACCAGAAGAATCCCCAAAGAAAATAAGTGCCAACCTGGAATGTTACTTACAGCAAAATGTACTTCAAAACTGACTATGAACTAGACTATTGTGAAATTCTTTCATAAAAAGTGAAAGAATTCATTACCAGTATACATGCAACGAAGAAAATACTAAAGGTAGAGAAAAACAAGAGAGATGAAAGCTCAGAGATGCAGAGGGTAAAAGCAACAAAAAATTATACAGGTAAATCTAAACGACTATTAATTCTACTTAATGATAAAAATGACAATAATGTTACAGGTCTAAAACATATACATATATATAAAACATTAAATGAAATGATAACAATGGTACCTAAGATGGGAGAGAGGAAAATGCAATTAATTGTGCTAAGGTTCTTGCTTTGCCCTGGAATTGGCAAACATTTCAACTTAGATGTTAACAATTCAAGGATGGAAACTGTGATCTGTATGGCAAACATTAGAAGAATAGTGAAAACGTATTAAAAGCTAGTAGAGGAGAAAATGGTTTAATTAAAAAATAGTCAATCCAAAAGGACACAAGAAAGAAGAGAAAAGGGACCATAGAACAGGTAGGACATCTAGAAATAAAATGATAAGATGGTGGATTTAAATGCAAATATATCAGCAACTACATTAAATGTGAATGAACCAAATACCTAATTTACGAGACAAGAATTTTCATGACAAATTAACATAAGCAAATTCTAATTATACACTACTTTAAAGACATGTACCTTAAATCATGGATACAAAAAATTTGAAAGTAAAAGAATAGAAAAATATGTATCATACAAACATCAACCCAAATAGAGCTATGATATCAACAGAAAGGAAAGATATCTCGACATCACTTCCTTGCCTTACACTGGAGTTATACAAGTAGTTTCCAGTCCCTTCTCTAGAAGGTAAATGCATGGAGAAATTAAACTGGACCTTATTCATCTTCATATCCCATGGTTCAGGATATGTTTGCTCCACAAACTAACAGTGAGAAAATAAGTGAGTAAATATGGAGAAAAAATAAAGGAGCACTTACCTTTTTAACGTACAGCATGTACTTTTTATCCAGATAATATGAACCATATTCATTTTCCACCTGCACAGCAATGATGGGACCTCCCTGGTTATACTGAGGGTCAAGGAGATGAGAGTTTCAGAGTGAGGTAAGGGTGAGAAAAGACTGGATTTGCTGAGTTTACTAAGCACACACATATCTGGAGTGCCATAGAAATAACACTCCTAAAGTCAACCTCAAGTTGCAATACAGTTCTGGCAATTTCTCTCACACTAAGGTAGCAGTCGCCTCGGGAAAGAAGTCATATACTCGGAATCCTACCTTGTCTAATATTGCTTAAATAATTAACCACCCTTATTTTTTCCCTAATTCAACGTATTAAGCATGGGGCCTCAAACTTTCAGAACAATCTTGCCACCTAAGCACCAGTGACAACATCAATGACTAAGGTGTCTGTCATCCTTTCTAGGGGTTATCTCACCTGTATGCTGGATCTCATCTCCTGCCCACTTCTCAGGAACGTTGCTGTTTGGTGTATCCCTTCTGTCTTCTGTATCTTCGTCTCTTTCCTTACCGAACCTTTCTCATCGTCATTTAAATTGACTTAAAGCGCTATGTTTTAAATAACTTTCCTGGACCACTCCCCTTCCAGTTAGCACCCTCTTGCCCTCTTCAGCTTCATGACCAAACTTTGTGAATTATTTCTGTACTCACTCTTGACCCACCCTCCCATCTACTTCTCTACTCACTGTAGCCTCACTTTCATTCTTTGAATTCCGCCTTAGTTATTAAGACTGGCCTTCTTTTTGCTAAATTCAATCACGAAATTTTAGTCCTAATGTAATTGTTCTCTTAGCAACATTTGATACTCTTGGCCATTTCCTCATTCATGAAACCCTCTCTGCTGCTGTCTTCTGTAATCCATTCTCTCCTAGCTCTGGTTACTCTTCCTCAGACTCCTTTGTGGGTTCCTTCTGTCCTACCCACCTCTTAATGTTGGTGTTCCTCATGGTTCTCTGTTACTCCCAACTTTGTGTCAATCTCAGCCCCTTCTGCCCTTGCAATAATGTCCTTTGGCAAATATCTTTAAATCCTCCCTCCTCATTGTCCCTTTCAGCCAATGTTAACATGCTCAGTAATCCCCTATCTTTATAGCTCTCTCAACTCAAAATCCCAGTCAGCTAACATATCTTACACCTGTCACATCCTAGGCAAATTTCACTGTGCCCACTTTGCACTTGCTCAGTCTACTTTTGGAACACATGACACAATCAGATAAGAAACATATTGTTGACACTTAAGAATTAAACTCATGCCGATAATGCAAGTAGCAATCTGGGCAAGACCCAGGACTATGTATAAGTGTGACTGAAGTGTTTGCACACTAAAAACTGATCACCATGACCTAGGAGAAACTTTAGATGCAGAGAATTGAAATGGGAGAATATTTAGCAAGGAATAACTGACTATATTGTAAACCCTGATAAGGAAGAAAAAAAGACACAAAGCCTGAAACAGTGTTTCTCAAACCTTTAAATTGCATATCCCCTACTGACAAACATCGAGCAAGTTTTTCAAAACCTGCTTCTCCCTTTCCCCTTCCTACCCAATCAATGAGGAATCCAACAGACTAGAAAATAGAAAAGAGGAAAGATCCAGAAGTTGACAGTACCTAGAATTATCTGAAGCAAGAGACCTTGAATCTGAAAAACACAACTGAAAGTTCTAAAAGAAAGATATTCAGTTGTAAGGAAGTGGTGAATCATAAGGCCTATAGAATGTTATCAAGACCTCCTAACCTCCTTAGGGCCTGGTTTTATGCTCATTAAGCAACTTTCTGATTACTAATTTAGTTTTTCAGTCAAGATTTTCAAAGACTAAGAAGTCCTAAATTAGGGATGGGGTGAGCATTCTAGTCTAGCATTGTTGAGTAGAATTTTGTGCAAAGAAGAAAATGTTCTATATTTGCACTGTCTAATATGGTAGCAACCAGCCATGTGTAGCCATTGAGCACTTGAGATGTGGCTAGTACAAATGAGAAACTACATTTTTTATTTCATTTAATTGTAATGAATTTAAATTTAAGTAGGCACCTGAGACTGTGGCACATACTAGACAGGGTAGCTCTACTCTCAGTAAAGGCCAGTCTCTACTACACCCCACATGGCACATTAATTTATGTTCTTAAGTCACTTACTAACTCTGAGACACCCATGTCAGGAACCAACTCTGTTGCCAGTAAATTCACACTATGTGGAGCCTCGTCCTGGCCACATGCAAGCCTTGTCATTGCCTCCATTCTATCTACAAAGTCTCCTTCAATTGATCCCTGTGAGGATAAACTATGCTAAGTAAATGTTAATTACCTAGAGCAAAGCTTGACACCTAATAGACGCTATGTACTTGTTACTCCTCTCAACTCATTTTCTAGCTAGTATATGGTCCATTTTATGTTTTTCAGCCATTTTAGAAATATAGGAGCATATTATTTCCACTTAAACAATATGCACAATGGTTTTATTGCAGAGAGGTATATTAAAAGCTAAGTAAACTGCAACTTTTATAAATCCACTGGCCTAAGGTCAGCTACTGTTTGTGAAGGACTGACACATATAGCTATCATTAGGAGATAAATGAAGACATTTTGAGGATAATTACTAATTTCTAATATGGCAATAGAGAGAACAAATAAATAATGGGCAAGACAAAATAAAAATATACAGAGTGTAGGTCTAAGTGTCCTTCCAGGAAAAAGGTAGATCTAAGTATGTGAGTGTTTAGTTGGGCAGCAGGTGCAGGAAAGGCATAAAAGAAGAGCAATTAAAACCTGTAATTTTACAATAAGGAACTGGAATTAGCTGCTGCATATGCTTCCTGTTCCTGAGCGTACAGAAAGCAAGTTAACCCTACCCAGGAAACCATCCAGGCAATCACTCCCTTGGTCTCAGAGATGGGGATTGGGTTTTACCTGGAGTGGTACTATCTTGGAAATCAGCTTGTCAAAATAGCGATTCACTGCGTTCCTGAAGCCCTTGTAAGTTGTTCTCAGCTTCATTTTCGGGTCCTTGAGTAGCCAGCTAAGATTAGAAAGGCGAGACACAGGCTTGGGATGGGAGACAGCAATGAGAATGTTCAAGCATAGGAGGCTGGAAATTGCAGACAGCCCAAATTTGCATAGCCACACCAGAACAGCATATTGTGAGGGGTTAATCCAACTTTAAGAAAAAGCAGTTGGTACCAGTTACAAACAAATCAGCACTTGGGCCATCATCTCTTTCCTCAAAATGTAAATTGAGGTTGTATAAAATGACATGATCTAGAGCAGAGCTCATCAAACCACAGCCCCCAGGCCAAATCAGATCTGCAGTCTCTTTCTGCAAATAAAGTTTTATTGGTACACAGCCACATCCATTTGTTTGCATATTGTCATGGCTGCATTCATGCTATACCAGCAAGATGGATAGTAGCAGGAGAGACTGTATGCGGTCCACAAAATCTAAAATATTTACTATCTGGCTTTTTTATAGGAAAAGTTTGCCAATCCCTAGTCTAGAATGAGACTTTTTTTTTTCAAAAAATTTAGGGGTACAAATGTTTTTTGTCACATGGATGAATTATATCATGCTAAAGTCAGGGCTTTTAGCGTACCTGTCACCAGAATAGTGTACATTGTACCTTAGAGGTAGATTTTTATCTCTTACCCTCATTCCTCCCTCCCTCTTCGTAGTTTACAATTTCCATTATACCACTTTATGACAATATATACCCCTTGTTTATCTCCTACTTATAAGTGAGAATATGAGGTATTTGTTTTTCCATTCCTGAGATAATTCGCTTAGGATAATGGCTTCCAGTTCTATCCAAGTTGCTGCAAAAGACATTATTTCTTTCCTTTTTATGGCTGAGTAGTACTCCACAGTATGTGTGTGTGCATATACAGATATAGATATGCCACATTTTGTTAATCTACTCATGATTGATAGGCACTGAAGTTGGCTCCATATCTTTGCAATTGTGAATTGTGCTGCAATATTCAGGTACAGATGTCTTTTTTATAAAATGATTTTGCGTCCTTTGGGTAGATACCCAGTAGTGGGATTGCTGGATCAAATGGTAGGTCTACTAGTTTTGAGGAATCTCCATACTGCTTTTCAGAGTGGTTGTACTAATTTACATTCCCACCAACAGTGTATAAGCATTCCCTTTTCACCACATTCATGCCAACATCTATTGTTTTTCTGACTTTTTAATAATGGCTATTCTGATGGGGTAAGGTGGTATATCATTGTGGGTTTAATTTGCATTTCCCCAGTAATTAGTAATGCTGAGTATTTTTTCATATGTTTGTAAGATCCCAAAAGCAAATACAGCAACAGCAAAAATAAGTAAATGGGACTTAATTAAACCAAAAAGTTTTTGCACATCGAAGGACATAATCAACAAAGTAAATAGACAACCTACAGAATGGGAGAAAATATTTCCAAACTATATATCCAACAAAGGGCTAATATCCAGAAACTATAAAGAACTCAAACAAATCAGCAAGAAAAAAAAAACCATCAAAAAGTGGGAAAATACATGAACAGATTTTTCTTAAAAGAAAATAGAATGAGATTTTTATAAAGCTATTTAGAAGTTAAAAAAAAATACTCTTTAATGAATATTATTCAGCCATAAAAAAAGAATGAAGTACATGCTACAACACAGGTGAACTTTGGAAATATCATGCTAAGTGGAGGAAGACAGACACAAAAGGCCACATATTATACAATTCCATTTGTATGAAATACCCAGAATAGATAAATCTGTACAGACAAAAGGTAGAATAGGAGGTGCCAAGGGTTGGGTGGGGGAGGAAGAAAGAGGAGTGCGTGGGTGTCCTTTTTGGGTGATAAAAGGTCCTAGATTAAATAGTGGTGATGGTTGCTTAACATTTTGAATGTAGTTAATGCTACAAAACTGCACACTTTTAAATGGTTAAAATGGTAAGTTTTATATTATGTTTATTTTGCCATAATAAAAAAAAGATCTAATCCAAAGTAAAAAATAAACAGATAAAAAAACCCTCTTTAAGCTGGTAAAAGAAGAACAGACCAACACCAAACCCAGCAGAAGAAGTGAAATCAACAAGATCAAATCAGAACTAAACGAAACTGTAAACAGGGAAGCTATCCAGATTAATAAAACAAAAAGTTGGTTCTTTGAAAAAATAAACAAAATTGACACGCCATTGGCTAAGGTAATGAAAAGCAGAAAAGAGAAATCTCTAATAAGCTCCATTAGGAACAAAAAAAAGGATATCACAACTGATCCCAAAGAGATACAAGATATAATTTATGAATACTACAGAAATCTTTATGCACACAAACTGGAAAATGTGGAGGAAATGGACAAATTTCTAGAAACACACAGCCTCCCTAGGCTAAACCAGGAAGAAATAGATTTCCTGAATAGACTAATCTCAAGAGCTGAAATAGAAACAGCAATTAAAAATCTCCCTAAAAAGAAAAGTCCCGGTCCAGATGGTTTCACACCCAAATTTTACCACACTTACAAAGAAGAACTAGTACCTATCTTGCAGAAATTATTCCACAACATCGAGAAGAACAGAAACCTCCCTGATACCTTTTATGAAGTGAATATTACTCTGATACCAAAACCAGGAAAGGATGCAACAAAAAAGAAAACTACAGACCAATATCCCTAATGAATATGGATGCAAAAATTTTCAACAAAATCCTAGCTAACCGAATCCAGACGCTTATCAAAAAAATAATCCATTACGACCAAGTGGGCTTCATCCCAGGGATGCGGGGATGGTTCAACATATGTAAATCTATAAATGCAATTCACCATATAAACAGAAGCAAAAACAAAGACCACATGATTCTTTCAATAGATGAGAAAAGCTTTGACAAAATTCAACACCCTTTCATGATACGAACACTTAAGAAAAAATAGGCATAGAAAGGACATACCTAAAAATGATTAAAGCCATATATGACAGACGCATAGCAACATCATACTGAATGGGGAAAAAAATGAAAGCATTCCCAGCTTAGAACTGGAACCAGACAAGGCTGCCCACTATCTCCACTTCTATTCAACATAGTGCTGGAAGTCCTGGCTACAGCAATCAGACAGGAAAATGGAATTAAAGGTATCCAAATAGGGTCAGAAGAGATCAAACTTTCACTGTTTGCCGATGATATGATATTATATCTAGAAAACTCCAAAGATTCAGCCAAGAAACTCCTGGAACTGATCAATGAATTTAGTAAAGTCTCAGGATACAAAATCATACACAGAAATCAGATGCATTCATATACGCCAACAACAATCTAATTGAGAACCAAATCAAAGACTCAATTCCTTCACAATAGCAACAAGAAATTAAAGTACCTAGGAATATACTTAACCAAGGAGGTCAAAGACCTCTACAGGGAGAACTATGAAACACTGAGGAAAGAAATAGCAGAGGATGTAAGCAGATGGAAATCCATACCATGCTCGTGGATCGGCAGACTCAACATCATTAAAATGTCTATACTACCCAAACTGATCTACAGATTCAATGCAATACCTATTAAAATCCCATCAGCATTCTTCACAGATATAGGAAAAATAATTTCACACTTCTTATGGAACCAAAGAAGACCCCGAATATCAAAAGCAATTCTAGGCAACAAAAACAAAATGGGAAGCATTAATATGCCAGATATCAAACTATACTACAAAGCTGCAGTAATTAAATCAATCTGGTATTGGCACAAAAATAGAAATATTGACCAGTGGAACAGACATAAGAATCCTGATATAAAACCATCCTCATATAGCCATCTAATCTTTGACAAAGCAGACAAAAACATACGCTGGGGAAAAGAATCCCTTTTCAATAAATGGTGCTGGGAAAACTGGATAGCCACCTGTAGAAGGCTAAAGCAGGACCCACACCTTTCACCTCTCACAAAAAGCAACTCACGCTGGATAACAGACTTAAACCTAAGGTATGAAACTATTAAAATTCTAGAGGAAAATGTTGGAAACACTCTCCTAGACATCGGCCTAGGCAAAGAGTTTATGAAGAAGTCCCCAAAGGCAATCACAGCACCAACAAAAATAAATAAATGTGACATGATTAAACTAAAAAGCTTCTGCACAGCCAAAGAAACAATAATGAAAGTAAACAGACAACCTACAGAATGGAGAAAATTTTGCATCCTACATGCCGATAAGAGGGTGATAATTAGAATATACTTAGAACTCACGAAAATCAGGAAGAAAAAATCAAATAACCCTATTAAAAAGTGGGCAAAGACTTGAACAGAAACTTTTCTAAAGAAGACAGAAGAATGGCCAACAAACATATGAAAAAATGCTCAACATCTCTAATCATCAGGGAAATGCAAATCAAAACCACAATGAGATATCACTTAACGCCAGTGAGAATAACCTTTATCCAAAAGTCTCCAAACAATAAATGCTGGTGTGGATGTGGAGAGAGAGGAACATTCCTACACTGCTGGTGGTACTGCAAACTAGTTCAACCTCTGTGGAAAGCAATATGGAGATACCTTAAAGCGATACAAGTGAATCTACCATTTGATTCAGCAATCCCATTGCTGGGCATCTACCCAAAAGATCCAATGACAGTCTACAAAAAAGACACCTGCACTCGAATGTTTACAGCAGCACAATTCATAATTGCAAGGCTGTGGAAACAGCCCAAGTGCCCATCAATCCAAGAATGGATCAATAATATGTGGGTATATTATACCATGGAGTACTATTCAGCTCTAAGAAACAATGGTGATATAGCACATCTTATATTTTCTGGTTAAGCTGGAACCCATACTACTAAGTGAAGTTTCCCAAGAATGGAAAAACAAGCACAATATCTCACCAGCAAACTGGTATTAACTGAGTAGCACCTAAGTGGTCACATAGGTACTACAGTAATAGGTATTGGGCATTGTGGGAGAGGGGCGGGTATATACATACATAATGAGTGAGATGTGCACCATCTGGGGGATGGTCATGCTGGAGACTCAGACTTGTGGGGGGGATGGGGGAATGGGCATTTATTGAAACCTTAAAATCTGTACCCCCATAATATGCCGAAATTAAAAAAAAAAAGAAAGAAAAAAAACCAAATACTGGCCAGACACAGTGACTCATGCCTGTTACCCCAGAACTTTGGGAGACTGAGGCAGGAGAATTGCTTGAGGCCAGGAGTTTGAGATGAGCAGGAGCAATTTATCACCTCTACAAAAAACATTAAATTTAATTTAATTTAAAAATCAGCCAGGTGTAGTAGTGTATACCTGTAGTTCTAGCTACTCAGGGGGCTGGGGCAGGAAGATAGCTTGAACCCAGGAGTTGGAGGTTACAATGAGCTGTGATTGCACCACTGCATTCCTGTCTGGGCAACACAGCAAGACCCTGTCTCAAAACAAAACAAAATAAAAGGAAAAAAACCTCCAAGTACTATATAATCTCTACTACTTTAAAGATCATTTTTTATGTCATTAAATGAACAGAAGAGTGCAGATAAAAAATGTACATAGAAAACAAAGCAAAACTCTTTGCCTAACTTGCATTTGAATGTGCTTGTGGCCCACAGGCAGTCATGACCAGGAACCGTCAAAGCACAACTTACCTGGGCAAGCCTCCAAGGTCTAGGTCACTACCGATATAAGGGCCTGGACACAGAATGACCCAGAGTCCCACCTCTGAAGCCATGGATATAAAAGTCCTGGGAAGCAAAGCAACAACAATAACTTCACAGCAAAAGCTGAGGCCTAGAATCATGGCTATGTCGCTCTCCTTGTGTTCTTCTGAGGTTGGAACAGGTGGAACCCCCAACCTGGCCCACAAAAATCCATGTAGGAGACATGATCCAGGGGGACGGGGGCACAACACTCAGTAAGAAAAGGGCTCTGTCAAGGCACAAGACAGAAAGGCATTAAAGTGAAAGTCTAGAAATCCTAAACCCAACTCTTAACTCTCCCACCAAATCTACTCCTCCCTTGCATTTCCTCTACCTGTGAGTAACACCACCATCCAAGAAGCCACCTAGAGAAGAAACCCATAAATCATCTTTGCTTCTCTGTCTTCCTCACTTTCTGCTGTTAGGCACATTTGTTCTTTCTATTTAATGTTTTCAAACTTCAAATTCCTCTGCATTCCTACTGCTACTACACTGGCTCAAGAATTCATCATTTCTTACCTTAGTTATTAGAATGGTTGTCTGACCAGTTTCCTTTCTTCATTTCACCTTCTTCCAATGTTTTTCCAATTGCTATCAATACTAACATCATTAACAATAATAGAAACTAATATGTATTTTATATCAGCAGCAGGCACTACAGCTGATTCTTTTAAGTTTATTATTTTATTTGACAATTCTATGAGTAACGTATCAATATTCTCTCCACTTTGCAGGTAAGAAAATAAAAACTTAGAGCTTCATCAAAGTCACATTTTTAATAAATGGAAGAACTAAAATTAGAACTCAGGCAGAGAGCCTCCAGAAATGAAATCTTATTTACTAGGTTATGCTGCCTCTTAAAAACACTGTCAGAATGATCTTTTTAAATGCCAGTATGAACTCCCCATATTAAAATTCTTCAAAGGTTTCCCCAACACTCTCAGAATAGATTCCAGATTTTGTAGCATGATATACAAGGCCAGGGTCTGGACGTTGGCTATCTTTCCAACTCTATTTTTTGATAGTTATTCCACTAAAAACCAGTAGGTGAGCCAGACAGCATCCCTTGCACTTCCCAGAAAATACAATGTGTGCCAGAAAGTTAATCATCAAGCCCTTTCATTCCCTTTTCTTCCTGGGCGCACGGCTCAGCTACATTTCTCAGCCTCCCATGTATTTAAATGGAGCCATGGAACTGACTTCGAGCCAATAAAATGTAAACAGAAGCACTGTGTTTCAACTCCCAAAAAGGATTCTGCAGGTGTTTTCTTCCACTTGCTCACTGGATGCTGATAAGCACAGTGGTTTGGAAGTTATGTGCTGAAGATGGTGAAAGCACGAGACAGAAAGACCCTGAATCCCTCCAATTATTTTTTGGAAGAGAGACATATTCTCACCAGAAATACCTATCTTAGATCCTATCTGAGTGAAAATAAACCTTTATTGTTAAAAGATTTTGAGGCTTACCTGTGGCAGCAACTATTACCACCTTAATTAATTTATAATGTTTTCTCACATCTCTGACTCTGCCCCTGCTAGACCCTTTGCCTGAAAACCACTCAGCCCCAGCTGGTTAGCTCTTGCTGCAGCTTCACTGTTGTCTTCCCTGGTCTGACCCCTGGTTTGGGCTGCAGAGCCTGAGCATGTTGTGTTGGCCTCCTTCTCTTCAGAGCGTCCTTATTCTTGAAAGCACAAAGTGTCTTATCTGTCTATCTCCAGCAACAGAGCCAATGTCTATATACATATTTCTGAATAAACAGTTATTCTACTTCCATCATGTCTTAGGAACACTGTAAATTATAGCCCAGAAATCTCCTCTTATAACTGAGGGAGCAGGTTCTTCATCATAAAGTTAACCTGGAGAACTTCTGAACCACACTGTGAGCAATAACACACCAGAGTACCAAGGTCTGTGCTCCACTGTAAATAACAGATTCACTGCTCAAGAGGAAACAAAACAACCTGAGCTCCTTGATGGCACCCAAAGCAAAAAGTAAGGAGCCCCCTATTGCTTCATCTGATCCCCACAAGTCAAATCCCTGTGTCTGGGCAATTTAAGCAATAACACATACATCAAATCCAGGTTTCCAGTGAAAGAAACTTGGTCTACTCTTGGCTCATGGAGGTTCCAGGGAACATGCCTGCAATGGGAAAGAGAGATAAATATAAGAACCGCACCCTTGACTTGACATAATTTCATGTTGGATCCTCCAGTTTTAATATAGCACCTTGGTTATCTCTACCATGAAGGAAGTTAAAGGTTTCAATAGCCAAACCTCTGTGTGTGTACTATGTATTATCTACAGAATTTCCTCCCTCTAATGCCCTGCAAAGATCCAAGTAGCCAATATTTTTCCATAATTCTAGGCTTCAGGTAAGATAGGAATGTATATAATTCTGGGGGGGATGCACCCACAGATTTTTTTCTTTTAAATGTTCATAAAAACATGTAAAAAATTTAAGTCTACATCTATAATGGCAAAAAAATCTATTATCCACAAAATAGAAAACAAATCTGAAACTTTTATAGGACTGGATGATACAATATTATTTAAATTAATAAGATGAAATCCAACAACTAACAACATAAGATTCATAATGCCCAATGTCAATTTAAAAATTACTAAACAGGCAAAGAAACAGGAAAATATGACTTGTAATTAGGGGGGAAAATCAATCAATAGAAACAAACCCAGAAATAACACATATGATGAAACTAGCAGAAAGAAATATTAAAAAGGTATGCAAATATATAGCATACCTTTAATAAGTAAAAGAAAACATGACCATAATGAGAGGGAAAATATTAAAGATATAAAAAAGAACTAAATGGAATTTCTAGATTTTAAAAAATACAATATTGAAAGTGAAAAGCACTCTGGATACTATTAACAGCAAAAGATGAAAAATTTATCTGTTATAACTAACAGCAGAGTAGACCGTAGAACAAAAGGTCAGTGAACTTTAAGACATAACAAAAGAAGGAAGCTATTGAAAATGGTAAAGAGAAGAAAAATAAGATGAAAAAAAAAAATTAAACATTCAGTCACGTGTGAAATCTTATCAAGAAATATAACGTTTATGTAATTGGAGTCCCAGAATAAGAGAGAAGCAAAAAAAATCTTTGAAGAAATAGGGCCAAAATTTTTCTAAATTTTACAAAAACTATAAACCAACAGATTCATGAATCTCAACCAACACAAGTAGAATTAAAAAAAAAACAACTATACCCTAACATATCATAATCAAATAGCTGAAAACAGGCAAAACAGAGAAAATCTTAAAAGTAGTGGAGGTAGGGGGAAATGACAAATCATGTACAGAAGAAAAAAAGATAAGAAGTACACCAGACTTGCCATCAGATAATATGTGAGTCAGAAAACAATGAAGAAATATCTTTAAAGTACTGAAATTAAAAAAAAAAAAAAAAAAAAACTGTTGACCTAAAATTCTACACCCAGTAAAAATCTCTCTCAAAATTGAAGATGAAAGAAATATTTCAAAAAAACCAAAGCCCAGGCCCCATTAACTAACCAGAATGAAATGAAATTTTATAATTATTTTATAGAAAATAATGAGTTAAAAATATATAAAACATATTTTCTAAACTTTCTTAATAATTCTTAAGTCAAGAGAAATTCAAAAATTTCATTTTGTAAATGTCTTTAGCCCAATAAGTCTTTCTCTATGAGTTTTCCTAAGGAAATAAGCTGATAAGTAACTTTGTACCTAACCATGTATATACAAAATTATTTACTGCAGCATTGCTTATAATAACAAAAACTGGAAATACCCTACTTTTTGGCCATATTTATTAAGTATATTATTGTTTAGACAGAGAAACGTAATAGTTAAGATTATGGGCATGAAAGTCCAATAGACCTGAATGAATCTCAGCGCTCTGCCACTTCAAAATTTAGGCAAGTTACTTAATCTCTCTAAATGTCAGTTTCCTCACTTATAAATGGGAAGAAAATAATGTATGCAAAGTTTATTACATTGCCTGACATGTGATGAGGGTTTTATAGCTAAAATGATGATGACCATGAATAATGAGAACAATAGCGAAAAAATTAGGACCAGTGCATAAAACATAATTATTTACCAATAATTAAAATGATGGTGTATGTTTATATATGTAAAATATGTAAAGATAGTAATAAGTTGTTACATGAAAAGTACATTATAAAACAACATATAGAGTGTATGCCCATTTTTGTCAAAAATACAATAAGCACGTATTACTTTTATAAGCATAAAAATGGAATATTCATTAAAAATATAGTTTTAATTTATCCTGTAAGTTAAAAATAATGTAATCTTTTTCTATTTGTCACTATTAAAAATATTACATAGTTGTAAAAATTAAACTATGTAATATTTTTTACTAGTGACAAAAGAATGTATTAATATAACCAATAAGAATTCATAGCATCAAAAACTTATTAACAATGGAAAATAAAAATGCTTCAAGCAGTCATCAACACACTAGAAAAAAGAAAGTGAAGAAATGCAATAGAAAAATTGTTCAAACTAAAGCAAAAAATATTTAGAGGAGTAAAATTTATTTCTAAAGAGCCTACTTTTAAAAAACTAATAAAATATATAAAGTTCTAGAAAAACTAATCAAGGGGAAAGGGAGCTGGAAAAGAAAAATTGAACATTCTGTGTATAGACCTGTATTTTAGAGTAAGCACATAATTCTGATAGAGAAGAAACATGAATTCCAGTTTATTAACATCAAAAGAATGACAGAATCACAAATTGCCATTTTGCAACCCCCCCAATCCACAGAAACAATTGATTTGGGAAGTGATAAACAATGAATGAAACCACCAGATTAAAGATTGATGGAGAAAAGTAGGCCACTGCCATGTGAACCCCTGATCAATCTAAGCATCACAAAAAGTGAAACCACTAAACATTATTTGTCAATAGTGATGCATTTTTTCCCCAAACATGTTGACTATATATATACCTAAGTAAAGTTCTACAGCTAACTTCTAGTTAAGAAAATCCAGAGAACAGAAGAACATGTTAAACGACATCACAAAGAAACAGACACAATGTGGAATACTCTACAGGAAAAGAGTTCCAGATTCTGCGCGAGTCAATGCCAGCAGGGAGACAGAAAGAAAACAGCAGTGGTCAGAACTAAGAGAGACACAAGAGAAAAACCGAAGGTGATGTGTGGAGCTGGTTTAAATGCAAATTTGAAGAAGTCAACTATAAAGAAGCATTTTTAGACAGATGAGGAAATCTGATTGTCAAAGTTTTATCTAATACCAATTAAAAATTGTTAATTATGTTAGTATTACATGGTATTGTACTTTTGTAAGAAGATGCCCATAATTTTGAGATGTATGTGAAATAAGGGTTAAAATGACACACATTTTAGAATTTGTTGTAAAATACTTTATCAAAAAAAAAAAGATAAAAGTGGCACATCCCTAACAAACGTTGAATCTGCTTTCTGTGTGCAATTTTTGTGACAATTTTCTTAATGATACAAGACAGGGTAGAAAAGCTGAACAGACCAATAATTTAAAGAAACTTGGTGATGTTACCAAAGAACTGCTCTTCAAAAGAACCTAGCCATCCAAGTAGGGAAAGGACAGTCCTTTCAACAAATTGTGCTGGGTCAGTTGGATATCCATTTTTTTTTTCTTTTAAAAATTTTATTTCAGGCCGGGCGCGGTGGCTCACGCCTGTAATCCTAGCTCTCTGGGAGGCCGAGGCGGGCGGATTGCTCGAGGTCAGGAGTTCAAAACCAGCCTGAGCAAGAGCGAGACCCCATCTCTACTATGAATAGAAAGAAATTAATCGGCCAACTAATATATACAAAATATTAGCCGGGCATGGTAGCGAATGCCTGTAGTCCCAGCTACTTGGGAGGCTGAGGCAGGAGGATTGCTTGAGCCAGGAGTTTGAGGTTGCTGTGAGCTAGGCTGACGCCACGGCACTCACTCTAGCCTGGGCAACAAAGCGAGACTCTGTCTCAAAAAAAAAAAAAAAATTTTATTTCAGAGTACTATGGGGGTACTGGGAAATTGTTTTTCTTCCCTTAAAGCTCACTCATCTTTGTTTACGAACATATGTACAACGGACATTTGGACATTCACTATGTACCAAACACTTTGTTTAGCAATGTGAGGAATATGAAGATGTTCTGACTTCAAGGAGAATATAACCTGCTGGAGAACATTTGGCAAGTATCATAACTTTTATGGGTTTGTTTCCCTCAGCAGCCCAGTGATCTCCCCAGGAGTAGAGAGGCCATGTCTCAGCCTTGATTTCTCTAAACCTGGCACATAGTGGGTGGTCAGTAAATGTCTGTTTAATGAGTAACAAGAACCCAGATGACTAGGAGAAGATGAATACAGGAAGTGCCATTAGAGAAGAAAAGGCAAGACACTAGAGATGGAAAGGAAGGGAAGACAGTGTATAAAACTGCATGGAGTTGTTCAAGCTAGGCCAATAAAAGTAGATTGAAATGTGACAGGCAAAAAGCAAATAAAAAGGTAGTATCAAGGACTAAGAAAAGCATGGGGGTACATGTGGAGAAAGGGAGGTAAGGCAGAGAACATCAGTAAGGATCTTACTGAGTTAGGTAGGCCCCACCAGCAGGGCTGGCATTGGTGCTTTGGTGGGCAGCAAGGACCGACTGAAGGTTTTTAAGGAGCATGCAATAAAGCTGTCCTTGGGGATGCAGCACAAGGAGGGAGCATTTTTCTTTTCAGTGAGTAGGTTTTGTGATCTCCTGACATTCTTACTGGCTCAGGACGCTGAGGTCCTGGAGTTCTGAGGGATTTGCTTTCTTTTATAAATTTGAAATGGGAATGGCTTACTGGGAGATGACGTCTGTCAAAAGAGATCCAGACCAGAAGTATTGAGGAAGGACTGAATTTACCTATGAGTAGGAGGCAGCACTGAGGCCAGAGCTTCCACGTACTGCCTAGGTAATGCAGGGTGCTTGATCATGTGTATTGGGTAGAGTGTATTTGATCAAGTAACAGTTGCAGAGTTCACATTAGGTGCTCAGGATTGGGCATGCTGGGTGGGGGGAGGGTGCAGCTGGGGGCAGCAACTGTGATGTGATGGGGGGTGGAGGTGTGAAGCAGGCTGCTTGTCGGAGGTGTGC